TCCTAATAACTATACTGTATTTTCAGTATGACCCTGATGGTCGCTACATTGTGATGGATATAGAGAAGCCGAAAGAAGACCGTGCCACTGACCTTGGCACCATGGCCTACTACATGGAGAAAGATGTAAGTTTCTGAATGTCTCTGATACAGTTGAGTTGATCTGAACAGACCCTCACCCACTTTCTCTTCTCTTGCAGCTGAAGGTCTCCCCTCTGTTCTCGAACGGGACCTCAGTCCAGCTCAATGGGGGCAGCCAGAACCTGGACCTGGATAAGATTGTGGTGTACTACGTAGATGAGGAGCGTCCAACTATCACCATGCAGTACCTGACCGGTGGAATCATTGCCGTCATCGTGGTCGTGGTGCTGGTTGTGGTCTTCGGCTTAGTGGCCCTGGTGAGTGCGCACTTCATGGTGAAAACGCCCAACTCTCCTGCATAAATGTTCATGGATCTCTAATCAATTTTTCTTTCCTGGTGTAGTTCTTTGTTAATCGGAAACGGCAGCAGCGCTACAGCAAGACTCAGGTAAAAGCAGCTTCCTGTACACCGTCACTGTAAAGCCATTTGCTCATGGGTTTTGTTGTTTAACATGCCTTTTTTTTTTCTTTTCTCCTAAAAATCCAGCAAAGGGAGCAAATGTAAAGCAGCAGGAAGTCTATGGAGAGTCATCCTGAGAGGAAGAGTGCCATTTTGTTTTTAGTCTTTTTTTGAGAAACTGAGATTTGTTTCCAGAAAAGTTTTTTTTCTCTCTTATGGTTGCCCGTTTATTTATAACATGTGGAAACTCTTGGCACAACATGTATCTGATCATGACTTTTTATTTTTTTGAAGATGTGGTTGATGTAATGTTAGAATCTGTTCAAAAGCTGGAAATTTCTTATCATGGACTGTACAGTTTCTTATGCTGTTTGACTTTTTAATAAAACTACTTTTAAAATGTATTCTTGACTTTAAGTGTATTTTTTTAAGTTGCAAAGTAAAATTCATTTTAAGTGAGAATTTCTGACATAAACCACTTTGATCTCAAATAATTTGTCTGACATGTTTACTTGCAGTTTCAGTGGAAGATTTTCAGCTCAGGTGAGGGTCACCTGGGTGTGGTGCCTCTGGAAGCTTTGTTTTCCATCCATCCTTGACTTCGAAAGCTACTGTATTATGTAAAGTTTTCCAAAGCAGTCTTAACCTAGAGCGTTGTATAATTAATTTACTAAAATATACTCGTACACACTGTAGGTTTACTTTTCCACAGAAAACCCTTTACTGTGAATTGCTTGTCTTATCAACAGAACTGCTTTCTCTGCATGCTGAACCAGTCGGTCTGGTTGCTTAAATTAACACACCAGGTGTTCATATAAGACAGAATTGGAAAATTCAAACTCTAGAATCGTGAAACAAAATGGTTCTGAGGCGGCAGGAGCAAAACTTTCCAACAAAAGAACGTAAACAAAAACTGAAAGAAGTGTCGTTGTTTACAACACTTTGTAGTACACAACTGCCTCACCCAGTTTGTCCCCTTCTGCCTGCCTTTTGTCTCCATAGCAACTAGGCCACAAAAACAGGTTTCGTAACTTGTTGGGGCAGGTCGGAGTGTCCTATGTCTCCCCTCCCCCCGGCTCTCTATTACAGGAATGAGGGCGGGACATCGCTGTCCACCTGTTGCAGGTATCGGCACGACAGTTCCCTCTGCACCAATGAGGAGGAGAAGGAAATGACTGAATGTTCTGGTTTCAGTCGCTTTACGTAGATTTCCATAGGCTTTGTGACTCACATTTACAGAAACCAGTTACACATTTATCCCTTTGTCCACAACACTAAAAAAATGTTCCGTCTCACACTCTCTCAGAAGAAAACACAAGTTTAAGGTATAACAGTACATTGTCATTTAGTCACTTTGTAAGATTTTTCACATTTTAGTTTTTAAAATACCAGAATTTGCACTTTCTAGTTTTGTCAGTCTGACATCAGAATTAAGGTGCTGTGATCCAACAGTCATTACTTGAGCAATCTCTAACATTTCCTTTCTTACACTTGAATAATTCAGTAAAATAAAAAAGTAGTGCTACTTTTACCTGAGAAAAACTTTGAGTGAATTAATATTTAATTTGAAGGCTATCTGATACTTGGGGACAAAAATAAAAAGTTAAGCATGGTTGAAGGCAATTTGATGCCTTGAAATTGGCCTTTGTTTAAAGTGTAACCCAAGTTAGGGCTGGATAATGAATCAATAACATATACTGTGAGACACATGATTAATATCAATAGAAAATATATCTGATAGGATATTTATACAATATTCACTTAACTTTAATCCAGGACTGCATAGCATTCTAGGAAATGTAGGAAGAGGGAAAGCTTTTGCTATTCAACTTCTCACTGCAAGCTATGCAAAATTGGTGGTATTAACTAACTCACTCACTCTTTGGTTACCTAGCAACAACCTGTGGAGTAACCAGCTGGCGCAGTAACAGTTTAAGGTTTTGACACCGTGACTCATAACTGCTTAAAAATAAACTACAACGGCATGAAGTGAAACCTGTGGGTGAAACACAAAAAGTTACCCCACCAATTTGGCAGTATTTCAGATATTTTAAAAAATATGAATTTTGACATTTTCGTGTAAATGGACTGAACTTGAGCGCTTTTCCAATCATTTCCACTCTGAGTCATATTCAGAGTGAATGTGATTCTCTTTAGAGGAGAGTCACATTCATCCATTCATACTCACACATTTATCCACCAATACACAGATTGGTAGGTAACTTGGGGTTAAGTGCCTTGCCCACGGGCACATCGACATGTAACAGGAGGAACCTGAAATTGAACCTACAACTTTCCAATCACAACACTATTACACTAACCACTGAGCTGCAGTTGCTCCAAATATATTAAAAATATGCTTAGCTTTACATTATTTTGCCTAAAACTGTCTCTCTTAAGGCTCAATTTCTGGGCTGCAGAGACAATAAAACACAGTAATGGGTCCTGGATGGCACAATCAGTTATTGGTAACCATTGCTAATCCACCTCATTTGCTTTTGCCGCTCCTCTTTACATCTCTATCTGACCATATGCTTAGAAAGCCGGCCAGAGAGATGTTGAAGTAGGGTATATGATCATTGTCCATTATTATCAATGGGAGAAATGGTTTGAATTGGAAGCTTCCTTCAACTTGTAAAAAGTTAGGTAAAAATATCTTGTTGCCATGGTTACACATAACTATCCAAAAGTCAAAAAGTATGAGAGAAATCATTTTGGCCGCATCCAAAACCGGAGGGAATAACTGACCAAAAAAGTAATGTCTTTGTCAAAATACTTAGAAATAAATTTCTACAAAAATTGTTCTTTTTGTTTGTTTACATCTCTTCGCTGATGATAAAATGTTATATTCCTATTCTGTTAATAAACAGTTACATCTTCAGTGTACTTTGACTTCATCCAATCTGATCTAACTAAGCTCTAATTGATGGTACATGTTGACAAAATAAAGAACATGTTGTTTGGACTATTGACAACCTTTCCATATAAAACTGAAACTGATTCCACACTCATTAATGTCCAAATTATGAATATCAGTCATATTTGCCACATCACAAATTGATATTTCACGGATTAGTGGTTTGGTTCTTACATATAAATCAGAAAGCATCTTTTCCCTAAACGCAGAACAACTTTGAATTCAGGTTAAACTGGACCTGTGGTATTTAAACTGTTTACAGTGGCAAACAGTCCTACGTTTGGCATTCTGCTTTAAAGAAGATGTATTTAATCAAGAATAATCCATTTTTTACAGATTACAATACAGAACCGGTCTAAGGCATAGCCCAGACACCACAACTGCAATAATCTCACTTTGAAAAAACTAATTTGAGCTTTAAGTTTCATTCTATGTGAAACCTAAAGAAAATAAGACTTGCCCATACAAGACTGTGCCACACAGTTTGAGACAAGTGAGTCAACCGATTCCAGTTATTGTCTTTCTCAGAAAGGCCTGAAGGCAGTAGGGGATTAAAGTTTACCGCTTTCCTGGCTGTTCAGTAACTAGGAGCACAAAACAAAAATTACTCTACACTTTCGATACAACCAGCTCAGCAAACCTGAATATCTTATGGTTTAGAAAACAGCTGCATATAGCTTATGCTGAACAAGTGTATGCATTTTATTTCCTGCTTTCATTTGGTTTCACTTCCTGTTGAGGGACCGCACCCTATAGCTCATATCAAAGTCCTTAGTGCTTTATGATGATCACTGTTTGAGTAACACAGTAAGACCCAGGGAAAAGGTTAAAGGCAAAGCATCGTCTGCAAGAAGAAAAATAAATATTTTCTAACTTTAACTCTAAATGAAATGACCGTTCTGTTGTTCCTGAAGCATATTCTGAGCAGATACTGCAGCAGATAATTGGATATTTCACCAAACTTGGTAGCCTAACTTGGTACATAAGTTTGCAAGGGCTAGTTAAAAAAAAAGTTAGCAACTAGAAAATTCAAGATGACAGATGACAACCAACATGGCTGTAAGTAAAACACATTTTTGCACTAAAATTACTAATTAAACTAAAGTATTTGGTGTCATATTTTAACTAAGGATAACATATACATTTCTCTGGTTGACATTTTTCAAAATGGCTGCCAATGTTGTAATCCAAAAAATATGTCTTCAATAAAATTGGCAGTAGTTATTACCAGAAGTGAGCACTGGTAACCAAAAAGTTAGCTCCACTAATTGCTAAACTACTAAACACATAAAAATTAGTAGAAGCTAAAGCTAAACTGCTAAATTTTAGCTATCCTAATGCTAAGCTGTTACACATGTAAAAAAGTAAGCTAATGCTATATCACTAAAAAAATTAAAATTGCATGAGCTAACTACAAATTGATAAAGACATTAAAGATTGCAGAAGCTAACGCTAACCATTAAGACAACTGCTTCTGAGTGCATTTCACACATTTTATCTCCTACCAGTGTTGTGAGACTCACATACAGCAAGGTCCTTCAGTATTGGTACCTGATTTAGCTATATATTATTACTTTACATTTGTATGAAGAGCATTATCATATATGTTGCACACTTTATAATAGATCAGTATGGTTTTGAGGCTTCCTTTAACAACTGATAACAGCTGTTACATCGCTGAATTTCTGTTGGGCTGCTTCGTGTAAATATTTACAACCTGGTTTAAAAAAAACTAATTATTAATAAGTATTGTTCAAATAAACAGTGGTGGAGAAAGTACTCAAAATGTACTTAAGTAAAAGTACAAATACACAGACAAAAAACATTAAACTACATATTTTTCTTACTTTTTTCCAGAGAAAAAATATTTATTACAGTATACCAGTATTACATAAACTCTGCTATTGACAGCAAAGAGTGAAAATAATTCTAACAGTGTTGGGAAGACTTCTGGATCTAAGTTGGTAGCAATCGCGATCAGAACACAGGTTTATGTGGACTCAGATCAGGAAGAGTCCAGTTCAATTTTTGCTCTTTATATATGTTTGCCAGAATGTACATGTACATGAAGCAGGTATATAGGTACATGTGTGTGTGGTTAGGTTTATGAACGCACACAGTCATCCGACTGCTTCTTTGCTGCCTGTGGGGTTACCGAGCTGCACACCTGTGATGCGTTCAGGGTGCATAGAAAATCTCCTACACAACCATACCCTTTTCTACAGAGTAAATTATTTTTATTTCATTACATAAGCTGTATTAATACACTATTACTTCAGATTGAGATATTTAAAAATACACAAAAAGTGTATAAAAGGAATAAAACATTTATTAAACTGGGAGCACTGGTCACAGGCAATACTTCAGTCTGCTGGTCACACTGGGAGAACTCAATGACTTCTGAGACATCCTGGTTCATAGGCTAAAGCCAAGGATAAAAGAGAAATTATCCAAAAGTGTAAAAGCCATTTTCAGCATGTTGAACTCTGACTCGTAGCATCTTTATAGCTAAATACCGACATGGAGGAGCTGAGCTGGGAAACAGACTGAAGAACAGCAGCTCCAGCTCTGATCCTGACTGATCTTTCCTCACTAACTTCTCCTCTAACAGTGGTTTTTCATCACCTCTCTCTCATTAGAAAACAGTATGAAAGCTTTACCTGCTAAGCTAACAATCAGCGGTTATTTCGGGCCAATTAAACTACATAGGAAATATTTTTTCGGTTGTTTAGAAGCGAATTTCTGGCTGCAAAGTCAAGTGATTCTGATCTTTCATCATTACCTATGAAAGGTAATGCCAATGAATCCAGTTTGTTTCGTAAAACAGTTGAAACAAGTCCACACAGCACAGGACTTAAGGAGCTCCGATCGCTCTGCTGCCACATAGAAGATGGCGGACGCTGTTACGTAGGACTCAGCGCTCCATGAGGTGTCTACGTATTCATGTCTATGGTTGCAAGAGCTAAAGGACCCCAGAACGCTACGGACCGACGCTGTTGTCACGGTTGCCTAGAGACGGACACTACGCAGCCGCAGTGAGCTGCTATCAACCTGGATCTTTTTAAAACATCCTCGACCCGATTCTCCGCCGTCCTTAGAAGCAAAACCTCTCGTAAAGATACAGACGTGAGAAGGAAGACACAAATCCCAGGCTGAATAATGTTAGTGAGGATGAATACAGGCAATTAAAAATAAGAAAAATGTGTCCATCGTGGCGCAGTGCTGTATGATACCAGGCAGAATCAGGAGAGGACCACAGCAGACCCTGATATGGTAACATTTTGCTATGATTAAGGTTTTTATTGGGCTTTTAGTAGACTATATTGGTTTGATTATTTGCTTAATATCAGCCAAAATAATACAGATGATAATTTAAAGAACAAATCACATAGATTAGATTAACAGTAAATACATAAATACTTCATACTTTAAAAGGTTTGTTAGGGCTTTCTGTATGTTTTATTTTGAAATGTTTATATATTTATGATTTCATTGTTCAGTGGTCATTAATGCACCAGACACAGACCTGCTGCCCAGAGGCGGATCTAGATGGGGGCCAACGGGGTACCAAATAAGTTATACTAAATAAATGTCTCATGTTAATAATCAGTGGTGGATTTTTTTTTAACCTTCACAATTTTATTTTAACAATTAATTAAAAATTATAGTGCTGCAGTTTTAGCTGCTGTATGGAGATAGGATCACACTTTCCATCTGCCAGGGATCTGCAACCTGGATCTGTGGAGACGCAAGTGGCTTTTTGGCTCACCTAAGTGAGCCAAAGAGTGGCTAAGTGAGCCACTCTTTGGCTCACTTAGCCATATGTCACTGCCATATTTTATGGCAGTGACAAAAATCACTGCCATAAAATATTGTCTATCACTGCAACGGACATCCAACCCCATGACAGTAGGACGACGCGCCGTGGTGGGCGTCCCTGATTTTGATTTTTGAAAGGTGGCAACGCTACCATCATGGCACCTTGAATGATTAAGTGACGCAGTTGCAAAGGGTCAGTAGTTTGGGTTATGCAGAACCGATCTGATCTTTTCCATAGCAATGAGCAGAAGCAAGAACTACAGAACTACAGTGACCTCATTGTAGCTATGACCTCATCTGTGATGTGGTAAAAAGATCAAAGAACTTCTGAGGTTATGAATGCTTGTATTTCAAAACATCAGTTCATATAGAATCAGCTCTTCGAACGCCAACACTCTTGCAAGGATTTTTAGTATGGCGGACCGACCATTAGTTAGCATGTTTTTTCACGTGAGTTTTGCCATTGGCTATTTAGCTACCACAGGGATGAAGAAGATTTGCCATAAAGTATTTCCAGGTAACAATTAAGACAAAAGTAGCTCTAAGGAAGAGAGCACTGAGTCTGAATACAATGTTTTTGATGCCTTTCTTTTCGAACCAATTATATATATATATTAGAGGCACACCTCATATATATACAATTATACCAGAGGTCGCGCTAGACTTCATTTTGACCGACAGGATGAAAAAAAATCGTCATGTTCTATTTTTACCCGTCAAATTATAATCACATTAACATCGGCTATTTAGCCGCATTTTTATGCGGTTACTTAATATTCACCTAGTAACTGGGAGGACATACTGGAGTTTGCTGTGGGTCATCATCTTTTTTAAAGTGTAACGACTCATTACTGTTGAACTCTGGTATATTTTGAAGTGCACTTTCAACTTGTCCTGGCTGAAAAGCAGCATTTTCCTCCTCATTTATCAATTTAGCTTGACTGATAACATATTGTTCAGTACGTTCAGCTCTTACAGATGAACATGGGTTGGTACCGATCTGTGAGGCAATAGCTGCTTCTAATGCAACGGTTCAGCAACGGCTGAAGCGAAATCCTTTTCTTGTACAAATTCAATAGATGCCTCTATTTTTTCCTTTTCTACTTTTAAGTTAACTTCTTTAGCTGCAAACCTAAGACGGGCTTTAGCAGCCTTTGCTCTTGACTTTGGCTGCTGCAGAGCCTGTAGAGGAGACGTTGGAAGCCTCAGACCGGGTCTTGAGAGATGGCTCTTGGTTGGACATGGTGGAGTTGAACGGGTGACTTCTGCATGCCGTGCTGCGTTAAGGCAGCACAGTGGTCTGCTTCACTCAAGCTTCAACAACGGCGTTATCTTCTTCGACGAGGACGTTGCCGTTGTTCAATCATAAACTGCTAGCTAGCTTACTGAAACTAACAAATAACATTACACACTCAGCGATAAATGGCCAACTTTTCCTACATTAATATGGACTTCTACAATACTTGTATATTAGTATAATTGAATTAATAATTGATATGTGCCTGTTAGCAGACAGATATTAGAGCAACTCCCCGCTAATCACCAGCCGTTAGAGCGCTGAATTTCCGTTGGAGCGTTCAATGTTCGATACGCCCTCTGATGGCGAACTGCTGCAACTACATGACTACTGCCACGCTTACAGCTCGATGAATAATTTCTACGGTAAAACAGAACAACCTTCAACTTAATTAAATAAATGAAGGAATTCTGTCACACATTGTCAAAAATAAATGATGTGACATAAAGTTCATTCAAGTAATGAAAATCGGTACCATTTTATGGCAATAATTGGTTTATAAGGCTCAAAAATGGTGGCCATTTTGAAAATTGGCCAAGTTCAAGTGGGTGAAGGGAAACATGAAAAACATACAATTACTTGAAAGATTTTAACAGTAATATGCTGCACTAAGAACTGGTTCTGTGGTTCTGAAGTTGAGCTGTTGGGAAGAATAAAATGTCCTTCCGAAAGAACTTTGCTTTTGTTCTTGAAGCCTGGAGTAAAAAAATACTTCTGTTCTTTAATTCAATGATAAAAACAAACTTTGTTTATCCCAACTCATAATCTCACATCATCCATGTATCTTCAAGGAGTCGTGGATGATGCTGATGCTGTGGGCAGGTTAGGTAAGAAATCTGGGCAGAGATGTTGGAGTCAGGGATAAGATCCTTATGACCGATGAGATGGTTTGAACTTCCTCCTTCTGCTCTTTGGTCCAGCTCTGCATCCGTAAAACCTAATTTTCAACTCTAATTAGCATTAATCAACTGCTCTCGGTTGTAAAAACAATACCTTTTTGCAACGGTAATACTCAAAAGTTGCCGTCATGAGCACCGGGATTTTTTAAATTCTTGCAAAGTGTTGGTGTATTGATGTAAATATTTTCTCATATTTCCTTCTGTAAAGCTTGTGAAAACAGCTCTCTGGATAAAAAATATGATAAAAATCTTTATTGATTGGTAGACAGATGAGTTTTTTTAATGCTTAGATTTAACTCTACCTGCAATTGTTGCATCTTTTTTTTTACCTGGACTCAAAACAAATAATAATAAAATAATAATAATAATAATAATAATAATGATAATAATAATAATAATAAAAATAGCAAAACAGACTTTAAATACAATTTTACTGAAGGAAATAAACCAAACTCATAGAGACTGATGAGCGGTTTAGGAACAATGTTAATAATAAATAGCATTACCTTCCTCATCACAAGCAAACGTGTACTTAGAATAGATGCTAAAACCTCTGCTGGCCAAGAGAGGTCTGGTTTCCACTTTTTAATACTAAATATACCAAACAGATCACTTTTTCAGGATGAACTGAAGAGACATTCTGTTTGCAGAAAGAACAGAGTCGGAGCTTGTTTTTCTAGTTGAAGCTCGGCGTGCGTCAGAGCAGCGTGGGGGCCTTGCTCGGGCGTCCGAGCGCCGGCGGGGATTTGCTCCTCAGCTCTTTGCTCTTGAGGCTGACGGGCTGGGCCACCATCAGAGCCGGGGCGGACAGGTGGTGGGCGGCGGCCTTCTGCTGATGAGCGCTGTTGATGTAGCTGGAGATGAGGAGGGTGATTTCCCTGATCTGTCCCACGAAGCCAAACAAACACAAACAAAGCAGAGTAAATGGGCTGTTAGCTAAAGTCTAACACATCTCACTTTATCTGACTGCCATTTTTGCTTCACTTAACTTAGATGGAACTTTTAAGATGACATTTCTAACCAAATGTTTTACATGCAATCACTATGGCCATGATTTTAAGTGCATTTTCACACCTCGTGGTCCGCTAAACTCGGTTCGGTTGGGGACCAAAGTTGCAACATTTATTACATTTTCAGCTGCTCTGATTCACTTTCACATTGCACTGTGAAAAAAAAACGAACTCTTTGAGAAACCAGTTCCCCTCCTCGCCTGTGGTGGCGCTGCACCAAGAACCACTGAAGAAAATTAAACAAAAACCTTTGAAGAAGACATGAATACAACTTCCTTCTTCACAAACTGTAAACAAAAATGGAGTAGTGTCAGATTTTACGGGTTGTAGAATTTCTCTTTAGTCTTTGGTAAAGTACCATTGTATAACTACACAAAACTGAAAAGCAGAAATAGAGACTCCTGCACAACCAACAAGAATCCAGCAAGTGGTTTATGGACAGTAGGTCAACAACAAAACCGACAGAGGTAGAACCAGCCATCCAAATGTGCTGGAGATCTGCATGGGTTGCTAGGTAACGGGTCTGTGGTTGCTAGGTGAGGGGCTGGGATCAGCTGGGGTTGCTAGGTAACGATGCAGTGCTCTTGGAATGTGACTCAACCATTGGGAAGTTTTAGAAATGGCTCATTTTCCAGACACCAAAATATGTCTGGGTGTTTTTTTAAGTACTTAGGTTGTTTTTATAAGCAGTTAAGACCCAAATGAAAGTAAAAAAAAATGTGCAAAATGTGAATTTTTTCGTAATATGCATTAATACCCTCGGTGGAAACCGTCTTCTACAGTCTTCTTCATGTCCACTCTTGGAGATTACAGCCAATCAGCACCAAGGAAAATGACTAGCACTCCGGGACTGGCTGCTTTGCTAATGCCAAATAGCATTGTGCCAAGGTATTTCAGCTTTACAAGCTCCATTTTCTTTCAAATATTTTAGAGAAAAATCAGGTGATAGGCAAATTCTCATGTGGTAAAATCATTCCAATAAATTATTGCTCACTTTGGAGGCGTCCATTGCAAACAGATGCTTCTCAGTAGGTTTGTCCTTGCCAATGTTTTGTCCCACCACCAGCATGAAGTCCTCCTTGCAGCCTCCAAACGTCATCAGGTTCTTGTAGGGATGGGTCACCAGCAGTTTCTGACACACAGGTTAAACTGTTACCGACACCGGTCTCTGAGCGGACTTCAGAGCACATAAAGGTTTTATGTTTTTAATGACAGGACAATGGAGGCAAAGAACAGGCCGTAAAGCAAAGTGTTTATGACTGCATGTCTGTTCCAGAAGGGCAGCTTACGATCGAGTTGTGCTCCAGAACGCTGATCCCGTCTTCATGCACCGCCAGCCAAACACTTTGGCCCGACTCTGGGGAGGGAGTGGTAGTCTGAAAATGGAAATATTTACAAATGTCTTTATGATTAACTGATTAATAATTTGATAGCAAATGTTTTTTGTTTTGTTTTTTTTACAGAATTTGAACCTGGTGAATCTAAAAATGCCACTTGAAGAGTTTAGGGTTGAACATATTTACAGACAGTGAAAGTTTTTCATCTTAAATGCGAAATTTATTTATTTTTTGTACAGTTTTGGCTTAATTTCTGCTCTGAATATGTTGTTCTTTCAGCAAACGGCCATTTTTAGTCTGTATACTCCAGTTAATGATTAATCGATTGATAAATTAGTTGACGATTATTTCAATAATTGATTAATCGTAATTGATCTGATTAATCACAATTAAGTTGATTAATCGTTTCAGACCTATAATGCACAGCACCCTGTTTGGAGTCAAACCAACCATGGCATGTCAGCACAAACACCTCATACCAACTGTCAACCACAGTAGAGGAGGGGTGATGATGCGGGCTCGTTTTTCAGGTTCTGGATCTGGATTGGCTTCCATTCTAGATCCAAATGTGAAGCTCAGTATTGGCCCAAACTTGGCAAAGCTGCATTTGTCTCATGCAGCTTCCCTCACCTCTGCCTGGAACAGCTTAGCACCAAAAAACGGCCATTTCCTGGCGACAGTCAGGTAGATCCGGACACACTCGGATGAACCCCGCCCCTTGAGGAAGGCCCAGCGGGCAGACAGACGCTGCATCAGTTGTCTGAAAACGGCACAAATGTCATCATGAGGCCTTAAAATCAGACCTGAGAGCATATACAAGGACGAAAAGCAAACTGTTTTTGTGTTTTTACCTCTGCTGCTCCTCAGATGAGGTTCTGCGGTAATGTTTAGGGTAGAATCGGTCCAACACTTGTTTTAAGGTCTGATTGGATTTATTTTGAGCCGATCCGGCAAACAAGGACCGTTCAAAATCTCCAAACTCCACCTGAAAACGAGATCAAACACAGCAGGTTTTTACACTTTCAAACTCGCATTGGCCTCCCAGATAAAGAGTTAAAAGTCTTAAATGTTTTACTGCGTGAGCAGAATATCGGACAATTTAAACTTTTTATTTAACTACGCTTATTTGAAAAAAATATATATATATATTTGTCTTAAACATTTTTGTAAAATTTTAGCATAAATTACAAATTTTATTTTTTTGGACTTTAGGTTAAAAACTTGTAGAAAGTCACAACCTGCTGCAGCTAATGATCATTTTCTTATTCTATCAATTATTCTGACAGTTAATCGGATAAAACTGGGAAAAAAAAATTCATTTTACCATTTAAACTTATTTTATACCATATTAGAAATACTTTAAAATATGTAAATAAACAATTTAATTCCTTTTCACAATAAAAAAATAATTATTTCATGAAATAATACAAAGCAGCACTATACAAAGGATTTGCTTTTTGATTCTCTTAAAAGTACCAGTGACTTTTATTCAAAAGAAATGTTGCTGTACTCAAATATAATTAATTTAATAGATTTGACAAAATGCAGCAAGAATTTTCAAAGTAAGACTGACCTAAATACTGATTTAATTACTCAAAATTGATTAAATTATGTCCTATTTTTTCTGTCTGATACCTAGAAAATTAGTAAAATTATTTTTAATTGCAGAACCCAATTTTAAGTTTTGGATCTAGTATAATTTACTCATCCTTTTTCAGCTACATATCTAAATACATTTCTGTTTAATTGAAGTATTGCATGTTTAGTTTATTGCTGAGTTGATAAAAAATTAAAAAAATTGGCCACAGAGTCCTTTTGACTCAGTGATTTTGGCCCATTTGGTAAAAACTTTGGACACCCCTGCATAGGAAATATGTTTTTTTGGTACAGTGATGCTTCATGAGATATGCTGGAGTTCTGAGTTTAAAACCGACGAGAGAGAGAGCTTTTTACCGGACCTGGGCGAGCAGCGCTGCCATTTCCAGAGCCAGTTCCTTGTTGACGGGAAAGTGTCCGGCGACGATGGCTTCATTAGTCTGGTAAGCCAGCAGCAGCCGCTCCCTCTCCGACTCGCCTCTCATCTGGTGACAGAAGTACAGCCTGGCGACGGACAATGCAGAAAGATCACAAAATTACTAATAATTATTCTTCATTTTTCACATCACAGCAAAGAAGGACTGAGGAATAAAAGAAAGCACCGGTTCTTGTAGGTAAGGCGGACGGTTCTGGTATTTTCAGACTTCCCAGAGTGCTGCTCTTTAGAGGCCTGCTCCCATTTGGAGAGAATGTCACAAATCTGCCAACAAAAATCCCATCCAGCCCAGTGTTAGCATGCTAAATCAGTCAATCTAATTTATTTTAATAGCATTTTCAGCAGCAAGGCAGCTCAAGGTGCTTTACTTCATAAAAATACAAAGTCAGAAAAAGCATCACTCACAATTAAGAAAAACAGTAACAAACATTACATTTTGATGAATGCCATCGTTAAAATTACACATCAAAAATGTTGGTCAGAGTTTCATTTATTTTGGTTCAAAAGCATCTCTAAGCAGCTGCTTTTTTAGTTTTGATGTAAAGGATCTCAGTGTTTCCGCTGTTTTGCAGTTTTCTGGAAGTTTGAAACAACAACAGCAGATCTTTAATGTATTGTGGTGCAAAGCCGGAGGAAGCCAGACTCGTCCTGCGATTGAAAGACGCACCTTGATGCCTCCTGACAGGCAGTGCTCCAGTTCTCGTCCGGTGGGATCGTCTGTGTACAGGCTGAAGCCGGAAAGTCCGGTCTTCCTCATCCCCGTGTCCTGGTTGAGGCGACTCTGGAACTCGTCCACAGTTGTTGACGCATCGAAGCTCACCACCTAAACAGACGGAGCAGAAGAAAGATGGACAAGACAGATGATGAAAAAGAGGTTTGGGAAATGTAGAGAGACGCTGGTTCCTTAACTTTGGGAACAGTTCCCGTCCCAGAAAGGAACTTATGACGTCACCGCCTTCACACATGTCTTTGTTTTGCCCTTTGCTTTGTCTGAATGTTGCCATTTGCCCTAATATGTCCTTTCCTCTTTTTCTGTTTTTAGAAACTGTGTTCTCACTTTTAACCCAGGAATTAGATTAGCCAATCTTTAGATAACTCACTATTTAGACCAATATTAGATTAATTTTTAGGTTATTATGCAGAGAAACTCCTATTATTGCAACCCAGAAAAGGAATTAGAACGAATTTAGAATCCAGAAAAAAATCTTCCAGAACAGGAACATTTAGTGTTTATTATTACTTAGAAATTGTGGAGTACTTGCTCATTACTTTTACACATTTAGAGCACACTTAGAAAGTCCAGAGGATACTTACTTACATTTATCTACCGACCCAGAACCGGGATTAGAACTGGGAACCCAGAAAAATGACCTTAGCAGCTACTTTTTAGACTCCTATTCTTCCAACCCAGAAAATGAATTAGACCAGATGATATTTACTTATACTTATCTACCAACCCTGGATATTTGGATCAACATTATTAGCTTTTTCTTCTTTTGCTGTTTCCTTTGGTTTGTTATTTTGTTTGCATTTCCTTTTAGTTTCTGCAAAGCGCTTTGTATTGCCTTGTTGCGGAAAATGTGCTATAAAATTACCTTTACATACTATAAATTATGCTTAAGTTTCACTTCAGCCGTCATTGTGAAACATACTAGAAATATAAGGTCAATGGAGCGTAAAGTGGGATAAACAACAAGCTGGTTCAGATCTAGTGATATAAACACATCCAAGTGAAACCTTGCTTTGCTCCGGTTGTTGCTAGCCGAGTCTTTGAGCCCAGAAAGTGAACCAGCGCTCTGGTGCTCCTACCTGGTAGGTGTTGTTGAGGAAGTGGACGGGGACGCTGAAAGGCAGAGAGTGGTGATACGGATTCCTCAGCAGGATGGACAGGATCTCCATTCGGGACGGCCGGGCCTGCCGCTCGCCCTTCTGCTGGGTCCGCTCCAGAGAGCGCTGGCAGTAGATGGCATACTTTCCCACCTCCGTCCTGGCAGGGAGAGAAATGCTTCTTAAAACTCTGACCCTCTTTTTTAAGAAGTCATAATATTACAAAAAAAGCCATAAAATGATATAAGATAGTCATAAGAATACAGTTCTAATAACATGAGATTAAATCATAATATTTTGAGAAATCATAATATGAGAGTAAAATAATAAAGTTATTATTAACATTATTCTCATGATATTATGACTTTAACGTCAGATTATCTCAACTTCATACCTGTATGGGTTTATTCTCAATTTTATTGTCTTTATTATCTTAGCATCATTCACACATTTTGTAAATTTTTTTAAATTTTTCGGTTCGAGCCGGTTGCACATTTCTTTAAATATGACTGTTATTTTTAATAACTGTGCAGTATTATTGTTTATGTTGTAAATTTGACCTTTCTGTACAGACTCAACCTTATTTTTGTTTTAATTTTTACATTTATGTAACTCTACGTGCTTCAGCCTGTTAATTTACAGCTGAATTTCCCACTCAGGGACGATAGAAGAATATTTCTATTCTATTCTATAATCTGGGGCTTTTTTGCTTGCTGTATGTCAAACTTAGTTGATCAATCAATCAAATTTTATTTGTATAGCACATTTCAGCAACAAGGCATTTCAAAGTGCTTTACATTATAAAAAAACAGCATCTGACATTGAATAAACACTAAAAAAAAAAGAGATTTTGAAAAAAAAAAAAAAGATTAAAAAAGATAAAAACATTAAAACCCGCACCCCCTTTTCAACCAGGGGGGACGACACCCACACCCCTGTCCTTATCTGGGACTCTAACCCTCTGGGACTTCTGTCAAAAACGCCGTTTTACAAGGACTCCAACCTCTAGGACTTTAGTTAAACGTCGTTTAACTGGGACTCTAACCCTAATTTAGCCATAAGCTACTGTAAACAGGTGGGTTTTAAGTTGAGATTTAAAGGCACCCAGTGTTTCAGCTGTTTTACAGTTTTCTGGAAGTTTGTTCCAAA